TGGTTTTCTGGACTCACTAAAACAGTGTCATGGATATTTGGATAGAACAGAGCCATAGTTAATGTTATTAGTAACACCTGTGCCTTTCCTGCTATGACACGTCAAAGAGACCCATGTGGACCATGAGAATAGTGCTGTTGTTACTGGAGCTAAGGAAATAAACAGTAAACCTACTGTATTAACAGAGGCTGCATTATCACCAAGGTTTATGACCAAGCTCCACCAAATGAGACACAACTTTTAGGACTGTCCTCTTCATGTCCATTTTTTCCTCAGACTTAATTTGCTGTAACCAGTGTTTGTCACCTCATGACTGGCAACTCGTCAGTCACTCCATCACAGATCTTCCAGAATGACCCATAACATTAGGAAGCAAGAATAAGTTCCACTGTGGCAACAACTAGGCAGCATCAGCAGGCCAACTGGAAAGTAGTCATGTTACATTTGTGAACGATCTGATTGTCTGTGAAGATTCTCAGTCATCCAGGTCATGATAATCTTAAGTGCTATGTTGTAGGTAACTGGACTTGCTTGAGTTTCTTGAAGACGTTTTGCCTCTCATCCAAGAGGCTTCTTCAGTTCTAATGGACTGGTGCAGAATTGCAGGCTTCAAACTCTTTGTGGGTTTGAACCCCAGAGTCGTTGAGGTCACATGTGAGCTCTGAGTTTCAGAGTCGATAAGGTCACATGTGAGTCACTGACCCACCTGGACATCTTGTGTGTCATTAGGGTTAGATGGGTCCAGGTGTGGGTGGGTCCTCGTACTCCACACCAGTTCGTTAGAACTGAGAAAGCCTCTTAGATGAGAGGCGAAACGTCCTCAAGAAACTCAAGCATGTCCAGTTGCCTACGATACAACGATTTGTTTCTTTTCAACGACTTATGGATACGAATGAAGGGAACCAAGTAGTACTTGGTGAGAGCTAGGGCTGGGTATCATTCAAAAATTACAATACTTGTCACTTTAAGTGGTACTGATATCAACAGAGTACTTCATTTGGTGGCATCTCTGTTCACTGAACTGCCAACTCTATCAGATACAAATAGTCATTTTTTCTAGATCTGGTTAAAAAATAATTAAAAGGTTCAATACTTCTAGGAACAGGATTATTTCAGTTGATATCTCAGAGGAATTGCGTACCGATACCCAGCTCTAGTGAGAACTGTTCTTTTTATTGTTGTGCCCAAATTTCACTGCCTGCCCTAGGTCCACTATAGTTTATATTAAGTGTTAAAGCAAGGCAACTTTATTTACATCACACCTTTCCTAAAGAGGCTAAATTCAAACTAGTAAGTTCATTGACAAAGCAGAGGCAGTGCCATACAGTAAAGAGACGAAATTCCCATCAACACTGGAACAATTGATTTTATTTCACGAGAGCATTTCTGCTTAGGTATCTGTCATGGCATTTTACAAAATGGTTAAAAAAAAGCCTGTGCATTCTCGAAAAGAAGTCTGAATGTTTGCCAGTTGGGTGACTGTTCACTAAAGCCCTGTTTCCACCGAGCAGAATGTTACAATACAGTACAGTTCAGTGCGCTTTTTTCTGTTTCCACTATGAAAAGTTGTCAATGATACCAATGAAACCGTTCTGTACCGTCCTCAGTTTTGGTCCCCCCTCTGTTGGGGTACCTAGCACACAGATCTGGTACTAAAAGGTGGAGCTGTGAACACTGCAGTCTGTTGATTAGTCAATAGAGGACGGTCACTCTGCTCAGTGCTGAGTTGTGGTTGGTTTTGAGGCTCATGTAACAACTGTTCATACTGTGGAGAGTTTTATTAGTAAACTGTAAGTATGAAACAAAGGATGTTTTGCCTCGCAGCAGCTGGAGTCGGAGAAAAGAATAACTCAATTCACTGGGCTGACTGCCGGGTGCTTTTAAGGTGGAACCTTAACTTGTAATGTTACTCAATGCATGAGTTGATGACATGAATCAATCAGCATACCTTAAATTTCACTGTGACAACTTTGACCATTACTTTAGTTTTTATATGACGTACAATTTTAGTAATGAGTGGATCTTCAAGTGGTTATATATATTAATTTTGACCAGGTCATGTGAACTGCATATATTCTAATCCTCACTCTGAGAGAAAAAAGTGTTGTGGAATGCTGTTCCTGTGTGCTACAGCAACACTAAACCCCTGAGCTTGTCTGAGAAGGACTAAATGCACAAACCTGCTTTTTTTTAAATATCCCATGGACAGAGACTCTCACTGCAGCCTGTTCTATTTTGTTCGGAAAATGTCAGCGTGCAGCCTCGTTCTGTGGACGATAAACGAGGTGCAGACTTCCATCTGTGTCACCAGTAATGAGGAAATACAGTGAGTGCTGGACGGAGCAGTGAGTGACAACAACTCCGCCCACATTTAAGAGTACTGTTTGTGGTGGAAACACTAGGGTCTATGTACCATGTCTGAAGGGTTACTGTCCCAAAATTGTTTGGCGGAAATGGGGCTTAACACAGCTTGTAAGCTTGTAAGCCATTGATTACACCCTCAAACTAGTATGACCAGTAGTCCAAAAAAGATTAAAATAGGACTATAGGTTTGTTATTGAGCATCAAGGCCTTGTGATTCTTCTTACATAACAGGGACCCTCCTTTACCCCTCTAAACACACACATACACACACAGAAAATAGTCTTTGAGTCAGGGCCAGCGTTGGAAAGCAGAGCGGCTGAGAAAGCAACTGGTTCCCCCCAGTGATTATGGTGGAGAAAGACCCCACCCACCCCCTCACTTTGCTCAGATAACAGGCCCGTTGTTGAACACAGGACCCAAACAAAGACGACCCTGTCCCTTTCCTCTTGCTCACCCTACTCTCTGTCTCCGTATCCAAGCTTTGATTTCCTCCCGTGGTCGGCCAACAGGTATCTCCAAAAGATTACCTGAACCACTCCCTCAGTCTCTCCCTCCTTCCATCCTCAGCCTCTCTCCTCCCAGTACTGACTACATAATCCTGAGGACACAGAATTGGCTGATCAGGGAAACTTTATATGGTGGGAGTAGTCTGATGGGATCAAAGGGAATTTGGCTCGTCCAAAACCCTGGAGGTAAAAAGCTGTGACCTGCCTAACCTGAACTGCCAGGATAATATGTTCTAAATTTTGAGCTGCAGTTAATAATAATTAAGTACTAATTTGCATGCATTTCCAGAAAAGAAACCCAAACATTGGATAAAGCCAGGTTCAAAATTCTTGTTGACCCATTAGAGTTGGTGGTTTTGGATATCCCTTTTTATCACTCCAAAAATCATAAAATACTGTCAAAAGCCATGAAAAAAACATTTTCGTCGTGTTTTCAGGAATAAAATGTCATATAAATCAGGCTATGAATGATGTATGAACAAATCCCTCTGTCAGAACCTCCAGACAATAAATAGGAACTGGAATTACTGCCTTGTGATTGTATGCCTCTGCGAACCAGTCAAGTTGCTGTTACAGTTTACACACATTCTCATTCTTTTTTTATCATTGGTACATGGGGCAGTACATAAACACAAAACAAAGGTAGTGACATACAATACATAGGAATGAACAGAAACTGACACACAAAACAACACAAAATCTAGAATTACTGCTTCATGGTTGTATGCCTCTGTGAACCAGTCAAGTTGCACCATGTCTGTGAAGACATGAATGCTTCACACACATCTTTCCCCGACAGCAAAAACGATCTATACAGTCAGCACAGTTTCAAGCTGGACACCCAAGATTAGAGTTACCAAATCAGTATCTGACCAAATGTCTTATGACATTTGGTCAGATATGTTATGATGTTGAATTATGGCCAGGAAAGTGTTTTTGCAGAACATTATGATGTCAAAGTGAAGTTGACCTTTAACCTTTTGGACTCCTTCATTTTATTATATTAGACATTGGTGTAAAATTTTGTTATAATTAGCATAAGAATTCTTGAGTTATGGCCAAAAGTATCTTGTATTAAATCACAGTGACCCTGACCTTTGACCCACAACCACCAAATTCTAATCAGTGCATTGTTAAGTCCATGTGGACTTTTGTGCCAAAGTTGAGGATACTCCATGAAGGCCTTCTTGAGATATCGCATTCATGAGAATGAGATGGACACAGAGTCACACTGACCTTAACGTTTGACCATCAAATTCTGGTCAGTTCATTTGTGACTCGAAGGGGACATTTGTCCTAAATTTGACGAAATTCCGTCTCGGTGTGCTTGAGATATCAACCTTTGACCACCAAAATCTAATCAGTTCATCGTTGGGTCAAAGTAAACATTTGTGCCAGATCTGAGAAAATTCCCCAAAAGTGTTCTTGAGATATTGCGTTACATGAATGAAGACAGACAATGTCACAGTAACTTTGACCACCAAAAACCGAATAGTTCACCATTGAGTCTAGGTGAACATTTGTGCCAAATTTGAAGAAATTTCCTCAAGGTAGTCTTGAGATGTTGCATTCTTGAGAATGGAATGTACTGAAAAACGGACAACCCAAAAACATAATGCCTCTGGCCATGGCTGTTACCAATGCAGAGGCATGGTAAAACTGGAAAGGTTGGTATATGTAAGTGCTGGTTCAAAAAACAGTCTTTAAAGATATGTCATGTAAGATTTAAAACATTTTAGACCACAAAAAGACACTACAGGTAAATAGGGTAATTTTTTTTTTTTTTTTACTAACATCACCATGAAACCTCCAGTTTCTTACTGATTTTACAATTTATTGGGGGGAGGGGGGGGGGGGGGATTTATGTTTAAATGTGTAAATGATGAATTACCTAATTAAACATGAGCTTTTTGCATAAATATTCAGAACAGGACCCTGAAGTAAAATAAACACCTACATGTGTATTTTGAACATTTTCTCTCCACTAAATGGAAAGAAGACATACTGTTGAGGAAAAATAGCCCAAAATTTTAAAATTGACAAGTGCATGTAAAAAAAAAAAGGTTTTAACATGTAGTGTTTCCCATTAATATGAATGAATTGTTTTTTTTGTCTCTCTTTCTAAATCAGGATGGTGTTATCTCTGTCAAGGACATTGACCTGGTGATGTCAGAGGGGCTAGGAATGCGTTATGCCTTCATAGGTCCCATGGAAACAATGCACCTCAATGCACCTGCAGGTAATGTTCGTTCTTTGGACTTTTTGCTCACATGAACAAAAGGTCATCACCCAAAAAAACAAAATTTTAAGCTTTTGTTTTGAGCAAAAATTCGAGAAACAGAAAGATGAAGCAAAAGGAAGATAAGCATGGTAAACGGGGTAAATGTGGTAATAGGTTTTATTGCAGTTGATCAGGTTTTTGACCAATACGAATGAGACCAATTACAGATCAAGCTGATTATTCTGTGAACCTGTGAACGCTGCAGTCTGATTGGACAGTAGAGGATGGTCACTCTGCTCAGGGCTGAGTTGTGGCTGGTTTTTAGGCTCATGTAAACACTGTTCATACCGTGGAGAGTTTTATTAGTAAACTGTAACTATAAAATGAAAGGACATTTTGCTTCCTCTCACAGCAGCTTGAATCTGAGAAAAAAAATAACTTAATTCACTGGGCCGACTTTCGGCGACTTTAAAGGTGGAATGTTAACTCGATGTATGAGGTGACATGAATCCATCGACACACCTTAAATTTCACTGATGAGTTTGACTGTTACTTTAGTTTTTATATGACATACACTTTAAGTAATGAGTGGATCTTTAAGCATTTATATTTATTAATTAAGACCGGGACAGCATATATCCCAATCCTCATTCGAAGAAAAAAAGCATGGCGGAGCGTTGTTCCTGTGGGCAGCAACACTAAACTCCTGAGCTTGCCTGAGAAGGACTAAATACACAAACCTGCTATATTTAAATATCCCATGGAGAGAGACTCTCACTGCAGCCTGTTTTATTTTGTTCTGAAAATATCGGTTTGTAGCCTCATTCTGTGGACGATAAACGAGGTGCAGACTTCCATCTGTGTCACCAGTAATGAGGAAATACAGTGAGTGCTGGACGGAGCATTGAGTGACAACAGCGCCACCCACATTTAGGAGCACTGTGTGCGTTGGAAACACTAGGGTCTATGTACCATGTCTGAAGGGTTACTTTTGGTTCCAAAGGTACCATACCCAAAGTGTTTGATGGAAACGGGGCTTAAGCGGTAGTCAATATTTAATTCAGTGGGGATCCCATCAAAATTTTTAAGTATAAGTTTACTGTCTTTTTTTGGTGATTTACACACAATATTTCTCATGTTATACAAAAAGAATGAGAGGATAAATACTTGAAATGACCGAGGAAAGTATCAGTTGTATAAAGTACAATCACTGGTAATTTAACATGATTACAACTGTTCAGCTTCTGTTCCAGCCCTCAAGATGAACCTTTAAACTATGACAGATGTGATTTACACTGCAGGAACTACGTACTAAAAACATACCAAAGTTATTAGCACTAAAATTTTTAGGTGACAGTAATTTTACGAAGAGCTTTTAGTAAGAATGCCACGTCCTTGGTTATATAGAACATGTGGGAGTCAACATTGACACAGCTCACATGTCTGAGGTCAACATACATGTACTGTACTGTACTGTGACTCACAGAGACCGAGGGTCAACCATCAGGGAGATGGAAATTATCTAAGGTGAGTGTGAAACCCAGAGAGAAACCCTGACTGTGTACACACACACAAAAAAAGGGACGCTTTGGCAGAACAAAGCAGTCTTTTGATGGGACCCGATGAATGCACTCCCTCACACCAGTAATCCAAAACTCACAGAGCCAACATCACGGCCTTCAAACCAGGTGCCAGCTCTATCTGTAGATATAGTCCTGAAGCTTTCTACTGAGGTTTTTTTTTCTGTTCAGGAAACAGTAGAATGATCATGTTCACAAAAGATCGCTCAGACCTACTCCTGTTGTTACTTCCCGTCCTTAAATCAGTCCAATCAGATACTAGAGCACTCAGGCTCTCCATCTATGTCTGTCTCTGCTAAGCCTGAATGACAAGGCTTTTGTAAAACCATGTACCTGCACAGGACGACATTATCCTTAAAGGAACTAGTCTAGTGCCTGTTCAAAACAGGCCTGTTCGGACTGGGCTGATTGCTAAGCCTGTGGTATTGCTGCCAAAAAGCACTTTAAAAATATGCAACTCGGCTGTATTCTTCTTACTTACTGTGTACCTTGACTTGAAAGGAAAACATGCTACTTCATTTACTGCATTCAGAGTCTACTTACAGAATATAAAACTACAAAAGCAGGTCCACTCCGCGGAAATTGCTCCTTTTGGAAATTTTAATCGCATCACCACATGTGACGTTTCGGGCACCAGCCCTTCATCAGACATGAACAAGATAAGGAGACACACCTCTACAACCAATGGTGGTCGCCCAGCAGATCATGTGAGAACAAAATTACACACCACAGTGTCTAAATAAAATGAATCCCGATCTCTCGGCTCTGTGCCGTAGATGCAAAATAGAGATTGGGTCTCTTGTCCATATGTTTTGGTCATGCTCCCATTTGAACGAGTTTTGGAAAACTGTAAAAAAAAAAAATACCATTGAAAAAGTGATTGGTTTTGAGTTTGCTTTAAATACAAGGTTAGTATTACTGGGAGATGAATCCATATTACCTTTGGGTTTTGAATATAATATTAGATTTGTTAAAATGGCCTTGATAGCTGCAATTAAGTGTATTGCATTAAAATGGAAAAGTGTTGCATCTCCATGCTCTAATATGTGGCTGAATGAGCTTTCATCTTATATTCCACCGGAAAAAATAATGTACAATTTGAAGAAGAACCAAAAAGCCTTTGATGAGGTATGGGGCGATTTTCTTGCTTTCGTGCACAAAGAATGAGGCGGACTGAATTCTTTCTGAGACGATGAACTTTGAAAATTTTTGAAAAACTTTATAAATGAAATTTGACTTACACAGACGTTTGTATAGATGTGTATTTATTTATTTATTTTAATTGTTTGTTTTGATAATTGTACCCTTCCTGTTGATATGTGAGGGGTTGGGGGGGTGGGGAAGGGTTATGAAATTTTCTGAATATGATTTTCTGTAAATACCCTTAAACTTATAAATAAAAAATATATGGGGAGACAGGAATACATTTACAAAAAAACACATTTACAAAATATATTCATTCATTCATTCATTCATTCATTCATTTCCATAACCACTTATCCTGTTGGGGGTTGCAGGGGGGTGGAGCCTCACACTGACATTGGGTGAGAGGCATGGTACACCCTGGACACGTTGCCAGACTATCGCAGGGCTGACACATAGAGACAGACAACCATTCACGCTCACATTCACACCTATGGACAATTTAGAGTCACCAATTAACCTGCATGTCTTTAGACTGTGGGAGGAAGCCCACGCTGACACAGGGAGAACATGCAGACTCCGTACAAAAGGGCTCCCCCACCCTGGGGTTTCAACCAGGACCCCTCTTTTCTGTGAGGCGACAATGGAGCAAACATACTACCAGGGCCTAAAATTAAATTATTATTAATTAACTGCCTGTGGATATTTTCATTTATCCAGGTCATAGTTATCTCAAGGCAACTGAATCGAACGCAACTGGACGTAGTTTTGTCTTAGAAGACGTTTCACCTCTTATCCAAGAGGCTTCATCAATTCATGCTTGTCTGACTAACGATTCCAATGACCACCGTTGCAGCAGGAGTTTCAACGACCGTCATTGACACACCACTGGAACACTAACGAACCAGTGACATCATTGGCCTTGTGAAGACCTCCTCAGAGGTTAAATGCCTGGGTTGTGTCCACACCAGTTTGTCAGACTAGTTCCAGCCTAGTCAGACAAGCATGAACTGATGAAGCCTGTCCAGTTGCATTCGATTCAACTGCCTTGAGATATTAATTAACTGGTTTTATTATGCCTCCATGCTGGTTATAGCCACAGCCGGAGGCATTATGCTTTCTGTACATCAGTATGCCTCATTCCTGTGAATGCAATATCACAAGAACGCCTTGAGGGAATATCTCTTTAAATTTGTCATAAAATTCTCTTAGACTAAAGGATGAATAGATTAGATTTTGGTGGTCAAAGGTCAAGGCACCATGACCTTGCATCAGTCTCATTCTCATAAATGTGATATCTCAAGAACACCTTGAGGGAATTTCTTCAAATTTGGCACAAACATTTACATAGATACTTAAACATTTACTCATACATACTTACAAACATTTACTCAATGATGAACTGATAGGATTTTGGTGGTCATAGGTCATAGGTCAAGATAACTGATTTTGTCCGTCTTGTTCTTGTCAACACAATAGAACACATTAAGGGAATTTCTTCAAATTTGTTACAAATGTTCACTTGGACTTAAGAATAAACTGATTAAAATTTAGTGGTAGATGGTCAAAGGTCAAGGTCACTGTGACCTCATGAAACACGTTTTTGGCCAAAACTTTACACAGATGTCTAATAGGATTAAATGATGAAGTGATGACATTTTATATCCTAAAGGTCAAAGGTCATCAAAATATTCTGCATATAACACTTTGCTGTCCAATATTCAGCATCATATCTCAGGAACAGAAGAGGAGACATTTGGTCAGATACTGAATTGGTGACTCTAATCTTGGGTGTCCACCTTGAAACTCTTCTCATGGTATAGATCTTCTGTGCTGCCGGGGCGGGGGGGATGTGTGTGAAACATCCATGTTTTTCACAGACATGAATGTAAACTATAAGAGGAATACGACTCGTGCACGGAGGCATACAGCCACGGGGCGGTAATTCTCGTTCAGGCATGTGAATGGAAAAGGACAAAAAAGCAGGAAAATATATGGAAAGACACCCAGAAATGTCCTGTACAAACAAAATAAGAGGAAAATAAGAAAATACAGGCAGAAGGCAGATTTTCTGCAGATACAGACACCATCACACACTGCTACTGGGTCATAAGTGATGATTTAGGGCTCATTTATACTCCTTTTATGTATGTTGCAAACGTAAACGTCACTGTCCTAATGCTTCCTTTAAATTGGCATAGAAATATCTGATAGATGACAACAACAACAAATGAAGTGACGATGGAGAAGATTTAAAAATGTACCTATTAACGGAGGCAATGTTGTAAACAGTGG